TGAACATGAAAAGACGAATTTACACCTTCCAATTCAGTTTAAATGTTGATTTAAAATTTTCCGATCACATTTGGCCGGAGTGACCAAAATTGATAAAAATTGCATAGTCAAAGTACTAAATTAACAATTTTGAAAGTTAGGTGTTGCAATTAACACAAGTTCAATAGTCAGTGGACCAAAATTGAAATTTACTCTTTTTAAAGAGCAAATTACCAAAATGGTCCCTCGACTATGTCGATTTCACCAATTTAGTCCTAATCATTTTGATTTCTCTAATCAAATCCTCCAACTATCAAAATTTTAACCATTTTAGTCCTCCGGTGACTTGGATGGCCAACTTCCGGCGATGGTAAGGGTAGTTTAGTAACTTCGCATTTATTCCCGCTGAATCGTAATATTTGACGCTGTAATTAACCAGAAGCGTTGTCTTTAGTCAAAATCCCAAAGCTTTGTCAACATAAACCCTAGCAGTCGAATGTGCGCGTAGTAGAAGGCGAAGCTTGTAGAACTCCTGTCTGAAGGTCGAAGAAACAGAGTAATGGAAACTGATGGTGGAAGCGGAATAGGTATTTATACTTTGCAGATCTTGCTTTATTGTACTGCGGAAAGAGACTTGGTTTATTGTACTATATTTTCAGTGGGGGCCATATACATATGAATTTTCGTAGTTGTTAATGATGTATTATGTCTGCCTGCACTGTGCAATATGAAATTAATGGGGACCATTGTGTTGTCTGTGCATAAAAAGGAGCAGTGTGTTGAGTAAATGGGGACCAGTGTGTGAGTAAATGGGGACCAGTGTACTTTGTTGTAGTCAGATTCTTTTTTGTAGTCATATGGGAACCATGTGCTTTTACTTTTATTTGTTAATTTGTTGTCAGGCATCATGTTTAAAGTGGTTTTACTTGCTTTGTTTAAACAACTTTTTTATTGTTATTGTTTTCTGTGTTATTATATTATATACATGTTGTTATAGTTTCCCATTAAACCTAAGGCATGGGGATGAGGAGTATGATGATGATGGGGGTGAGGAGTATGTTGATGATGGTAGTGAGGAGAATGATGATGATGTGGATGAGGAGTATGATGATGATGGTAGTGAGAAGTATGCTGATGATGGCAGTAATGTAGAAGATGATATAGAGTTTGATAAATGCATAGATTCTGTGTCAGGCATTTACATGGCAATATGAGAGTGGCAGGTTTTATTGGACAACCAATAAAAGATGCATTGTGGAAGGCTGCAAGAGCAACAATAGTGAATACCTTTACAACTGCTTTGAGAGAGTTAAAGGATCTGGATGTGAAGGCATTTGAGTGGTTGGCAGATAAGCATCCAGCAGAATGGCCAAGGTCACACTTCAACACAAGGGCTCATTAAGATATGCTGGTTAATAATATCTGTGAAAGTTTCAACTCCATGATCCTTGATGCAAGAGAGAATCCTTTGATCACTTGCTTAGAGATTTTAAGAAAACAACTTATGGTGAGGTTTTATGAGTGTAAGACTAAGGCTTCAAAATGGTCTGGACCCATATGTCCAAATATTGTTAAAAAACTAGATCTTGTTGAGCAACAAGCTGGGTCCTTTTGGTGTTATCAAAGTAGTGAGACTTTGTTTGAAGTAATAGGGCCAGTGGATCAGCATCAAGTGGATTTGGGAAGACATAGTTGCTCTTGTAGAAAGTGGGAACTAACAGGGATCCCTTGTAGACATGCAGTCTCTGCAATTTGGAAAAAATATGGCAAATGACCTGTTTATGATTATGTTCATCCATGTTATTCAGTCCAGACTTATATGCAAAGTTATGAAGGTTGTATTCATCTAATTGCTGGACCTGATGAATGGCCTATCATTCAAAGGGAGTCACCATTGCCACCATTATACAAAACACAAGTTGGAAGGCCTAAGAAGTTGAGAAGGAGATCTGCTGGAGAGTTGCCAAATGAAAAGAGAACATATAAAAAGAAAAAAAAAAAGTTGAGAAAGAACCTGTAAAGCTAACTAAAGATGGTGTTCATGTATCAAGGAGTTTTGTGAGGCTTCATTGCACACATTGCAAGCAACCAGGGCATAATAGCAGGACTTGTCCTTTGACAAAAAACAAGAAGGTATACATTCTGTTTTACGCTTCTTTTCCTTAACTTCAAAACTAATTGCTACTCTATGTTTCACAGAAAGCAAGTAACCCAGAACAACACCTTGGTGAAAGTAGTGCTACAATTGAGAATCCAGTGAATCAGAATCATACAATTGAGAATCCAGTGAATCAGAATCATATTGTAGCTAATGAAGTCAATCAGAATCATACTCCAGCTAATGAAGTCAATCTGAATGATTTAGGTAATTAATTGTTTGTATTTCTAAACTGAATGAAGTCAATCAGAATGAGTTGTCAATTAATTTTTTTTTTACGTTGTAGTTGACATAGAGATTACTAATGGATGTGAGAATGAAACTGATGTGAATGGAGTTGATCCATTGTTGGATGAAGTGGATGGAACTGATGTGAATGGAGCTGAAGTCAATGATTTCACCAATTTAGGTAATTAATTGTTTGTATTTCTAAACTGAATGAAGTCAATCAGAATGAGTTGTCAATTATTTTTTTTTTACCTTGTAGTTGACATAGAGATTACTAATGGATGTGAGAATGAAACTGATGTGAATGGAGCTGAAGTCAATGATTTCACCAATTTAGGTAATTAATTCTTTTGGAGTGGTTAATAGTTGAAAGGTTGTCAGACAACTTAATTCTTTTTAGTTTTTAGTTTTTAACTTTTCTTTTTTATACAAGTAGAGGATACATTGTTAGATGAAGTGGATGGAACTGATGTGAATGAAGCTGAAGTGAATGGAACTGATGTGGATGGAACTGATTTGAATGGAGCTGAAGTGAATGTAGATGATCCATTGTTGGACCAATGGGATGCAATTCAAATCCCATGGGAGGTTTTTGATAACACACAAGAACCACCATGTGATGACACAGAACCAGAGGAAGCAACATCAGAAGGCTATGCTAGAGGACCCCCTAAGGCTATGTCTAAGAAGGGAGGAAAACAGAAGAAAGCATTGGGATTAACCAGGAAATACAAGACTAGATCTAAATCTATGTTCAAGAGCAAGTTCCATGGGAACTCTAAGGAGCCAATAGAAATTGATTAGGAGTATAACATTATGTAGCTTCTTCTTTTTTTGGTGGTCATAACTACTCCAAACTGTGGCTTTTTTGTTGGTTGTTAAGTGTTTTGGCAGTGAACAACCCTTTGCTACTAAATCTATGTTAAGTGTTTTGGCAGTGAACAACACTTTGCTATTAAATCTATGACTCTTCTTGTTAGTTGTCAATTAAACCAAACTTCTATTTTGGCAGTGAACCATTTTGACTCAATAGCTCTCTGCTCAGTACCATTTAAATAGACCAAGTTAACATTATAAACCACACCAATAAACAACATAGACAGCTCTCTGCTCAGTACCATTCAACACCAATAAACAACATAGACAGCTCTCTGCTCAGTACCATTCAACACCAATAAACAACATAGACAGCTCTCTGCTCAGTACCATTCAACACAAATAAACAACATACCAAGTTAACATTATAAACTACACCAAACCAAGCAGATAAAATCACACAAAACATAGTAGACCATTTTAAGGTTCATAAACATAGCAACCATTTCATTGATTCAACGCAAGTTAACATGTTACAACATAATATCAAGCCAACATTTTAAGCCTCTTTTCCCTAACTTCAACACTAGATACAGATGACAAAAAATACAACATTGCCAACACTAAGATTACAGTCCAAACGAACAATAATTTAAGAGTAAACTTCCAATTCACACTTGATTTGCCATTCATTCTAGTATTGCCAGCTACCCTAATTTTCCTTCTCAATGCCTCATTTTCTTCTTCATGTCGATTTATTCTTCGCAATAATCCTGGAATTATTTTCTTCGACCTTGAGCACATGGGAGGATCGAACCATTTAATAAACCCACATCCAAACACATTGCCCTGTACAAAAAAAAATCCCTAATTTTCATATTCGAACTTCAACAAAAACATGGTTATCAAAATTCCCAACTAGGATTAAAAAAAAAAAAAAAAAAAAAAAAAAAACTTACATTTGAACTAGCGCATTCCCAATATCTTCTCCCAGGATTACCATTTGTCCACGAAGTTTTCAGATTCAACAATTGCCCACAATTACAATTAGGAACTGATATGAACTCACCGTAATGATGAACCCTCTGATCTGATTGGCAAGAAGAAGACGACCTATCGCCCATGTTGGAGACGAAGAAGTAGTGTTGTTGGTTGGAGACGTGGAGAGAATCGCAGACGGAGACGAAGAAGCAGTGTTGTGGCTTCGTTGCAGATCTTGCTTCATCAATTAGGTTTTTGGGAGTGAACAACGAACAAATAGCCGGTGAACGGAGCATAGTGAATTTCCAATAATATCCCTCAAAATATGCCATCCAAGTCACCGGAGGACTAAAATGGTTAAAATTTTGATAGTCGGAGGATTTGATTAGAGAAATCAAAATGACTAGGACTTAATTGTTAAAATCGACATAGTCAAGGGACCATTTTGGTAATTTACTCCTTTTTTTAAAATTAACAATTTAGTTATCATATTTAAATATTTCTATTATTTTATGTTTTATTAGAACTAATGGATTTTATTATTTTATTATGCGTAAGTAATTTAAATATTAATTTTTTTAAAAATAATGAAATAATAAGTGATGAGTGGACACACGCATTCGGTAGGATGGTGGTGAGTTTTGAAAAAGTCTATCCTATGCGGTTGATGTGGAAGTGAGTAGGAAAAATATAACGTACGTTAGGTGATGAATGTTACCAACAAATCCAACAATTATTGGAAGTAGAATTATTTTGGATTTGATATGATGTATGGGGAGCACAACGAATCCACGCCATTCCGATGGGCTGTGGCCGACGAATGCGGATTCTCATTTCTCTGTCGACTGAATCTCTCTCTCTCTCTCTTTTTTTTTTTTTTTTTTTTTTTTTGGTGCGTATCGACTGAATCTCTGATGCCTATCTACCCGCTCCTATTATTTCGCACGCAGCCGCAGCCCACTTCCTTCTTTCCGGAGAATCCACTATACCATAGGACTCTCCTCCCTTCTCCTATACTTTTGTGCATACATTTTGCACACTGTTTTTTAAATTTCTTTTCTCATATACTAACTTAAAAGAGTGAATTCAGCATTTGATACTTGCCCATTTACACAAGAAAAAAAAAAAAAAAGGTATCACAAAGACGACGACATCTTTTGGATTGAAACATTTGGAAGCTGAAGAAGTGGAATGGGATTTGTTTCTGATTGGCAAAAGAGTGGCGGTTGTGAAAGAGGGTATTTTTCTGGGGGGTTGAGAAGCCTTGTGAGGAGGAAGCAGGTTGATTCTGCCGCTGCTGCTTCTTCTGCTCATTCAAATCCATCATCATCCTCTTCTCCTTCTTCTATTTCTTCTTCCGGGCATGGTAGAGTGCATCATCATCAGTTGGCTAAGGCATTGACCATCCCTCACCTAATTGCCATAGGTATAAACAGTATTACTACAAAAAGGAATTGCTTTTGACTTTTGATTGGTAATTTGTTGCTCTTCATTTTGAACATTTGTTATCAGCTGTCTTCCCTTCATTCTATGCAATTTGATGTCAATGAGAGTTTCCAAAATTTATCATTTATGTTTTTTCTTTAATACATATATTATACGAGTACTTCTTTATTTGATGATGATTGGTTCTATTCTCATGCTTTCTCTATAGGCATTCTTTGTTCTTATTTATGCACTTCTTACTGTATTAGCATTGTGGAATAATTCGATAGTTACCTGAGTCTTTGCATAATTTTAAATTTAGGTGTTGGTTCCACAGTTGGTGCTGGGGTTTATATTCTAGTTGGCAGTGTTGCCAGAGAGCATACAGGTCCAGCCCTCACCCTTTCCTTTTTGATAGCTGGGATAGCAGCTGCTCTCTCTGCCTTCTGCTATGCTGAGCTTGCAAGCCGTTGCCCTTCAGCCGGGAGTGCCTATCATTATTCCTACATATGTGTTGGAGAAGGGTATTCAGAGAGTTTTGTATTTACTCTAACAATCTGAGATAAGCATAATTACTTTGAACATATGATCCAGTGAAAACCTTGATATCTTTTCTCTAGGTTAGATATGCATGTGACATATTTTAATGCATTTTGGTTTTATCTCAGAGTTGCTTGGTTGATTGGATGGGCATTGATACTGGAATACACAATTGGAGGTTCTGCAGTAGCACGCGGCATATCTCCAAATCTGGTGCTGTGCACACTCTTCATTGGTTTTTTTTTTTTTTTTTTTTTTTTTTTTTTTTTTTTTTGAGTTAATTCCATTTTTTGTCATACATTCATTGGTGACTGTCCACATTTAGTCCTTTTTTTATCAGAACATCCACATTTGGTCCTAGTATTATTATGGTATGACCATTTTTTGTCTTCTATCAACAAAACAGTTTTAATGCCGTTAAATACAAAACCATTTCAGTTTTCAATTACATATTTTTTCAAAAAAATAAATATAAAAAATATAGCTAGGCCAACTCACTAAGTATAAAAATGATTGAAATGCCTTTGTATTTAATGACATTTCAAGGATTTTGTTGACGGAGGACAAAAAATGGTTATGTCACAGTAATACTAGGACCAAATGTAGATGCTCTGATAAAAAAGGATGCCACCTATAAATCTAGGACCAAAAATGGAATTAACTCTATTTTTTTTGGCTAGATTTCTGTGCATGTAAGTGTGACTGTTGGAATCTGTTTTCTCAGAATATGAGCCACCAGCACTTCACTTTCTGCAATGCTTGCCTAGCTTATGGCTACTAATTTGCTTTGCTCACACAAATGTGTATTTTTTAGCTATATATTGCTCTTATCCTTGTGCAGGGGCTTGTTGCATTGACCACATGATTATTAGATGATTTGTTTTGCTAGTCTTTGCCTTCTTTTCCTCCTTCCAGGCTAAGGAAAATCTAAGAATCAGATAGTACATGAGCCTTCCAAACTATACAATAGTATTATCTTCATAGTATGTTACAATTGATATAGGCTGCACTGCATCTGGTAGGTGGAAACTGTTTCCTTCTCAAGTCTTTTACCTCATGAAATTAGCATCATGGGAATATGGTCCAAGTTTGATGAGCTGCAGCTTTAATCAATCTATTAACACAAACGTCAGTATTTTGTCCATAACTATGTCTAAGTAACCCTGTCTTTGGGGTATAATTACAATAAGGTTTGTCCTTTTCTTTAGCACTCTTTAAGGTACTGTAGCATGTTTGGCTATTTGGCTTCTGTTTCTTGACCTCTGTATTTTCATTCTTTGTATCTTATTCCAAATAGAACTGAGCCCAGATTAGAAGGAAACTCACCCTTGAAACCCAAACCCTCTCTTTCTCTCCAACCCACACACTCACAAAAAAAAAAAAAAAAAAAAGCAAACAGGGAAAGAGTTAAAAAGTAAAACTGAAATGTGCCTCATTAAGCTATTGCCTCTTTCTCATTTAAATAATGGTTTGATGATGAAAGTGTATTCTCATCCACCAATTCTGAGTAGTAATGCTTGTATTAAATTCCCTGTGCATTCATTAGGCTTTGCTCTTTGGAGGTCAGGACAGTCTCCCAATCTTTTTAGCTCGTCAAACAATCCCTGGGCTTAATATTGTTGTGGACCCATGTGCGGCAATATTAGTTTGCATAGTCACTGGGCTTCTATGTGTGGGAATCAAGGAGGTATTTTCTCTCTCCAAATTTTGAATTAAACAATTCTGTTTCTATTGGTGAATTATATCATCAATTTGCTAATTGAATGAAATAATTCTTGCAGAGTACAATGGCACAAGGATTTATCACAATGGCCAATATATGTGCCATGGTTTTTGTAATTGTTGTTGGTGGATATCTGGGCTTCAAAACTGGATGGCCTGGTTATGACCTTCCTGTTGGGTAAATGCAGACTGTTTCTCCATTGTCATTTTTTTTTTTTTCATATTTTTCTTTCTGGAGTAGTTTTCTAAGTGTTTATGTGACCATTAGGTATTTTCCCTTTGGGGTTAATGGAGTGCTGGCTGGGGCTTCAACCGTATTCTTTTCATACATTGGTTTCGATACAGTCGCTAGTACTTCTGAGGAGGTATGCTATATATTGCCTCACTTTCCATAAAGGTAATAATGAATAAAAAGTATTGTCTGTTAGGCCAACTATACTTTATAGCGGCAAGTGGTTGGGTGGGTAAAGCAAAATGTCGTGCCGTGATTATAACATATATAAGAATTTTAAGATGGATGCATGGGAATATGGGAATACAAGGAAAGCCATTGCATAGGTGATGCCATTTTAAGGACAAATTTAGAAGGTTAAGATGGTTTGGGTATGCTCAATGTAGTAGGGTTGCACCAATTGAAAGAGCAATAACATGGTGGCTATAGGAAATAGGAGAGAAAGAGGTTGACTGATTACTTGGATTAAACTTATTAATACAGATATGCTAGTTAAAAGGCCTGCAATGTGGTACCAAACAGAGACATACAACTACAATCTACAAAGCAATCTCAACATGATCGGGATTAAGGACTTGTTGGGTTGTAAAAGATTGTTGAGAAATGCTAATTATCCACATCATTTTTATTATTTATTGATTAGGGGTGATATTTATTTGTAAATTCTAATATCCTCCCTGTAACAGGTGAAGAATCCTCAGCGCGACTTGCCATTGGGGATCGGCCTCGCATTGTTTATATGCTGCATGTTATATATGTTAGTCTCTGCTGTTATTGTAGGTTTGGTCCCTTATTACGCTATGGATCCTGATACCCCAATCTCCACTGCATTTGGGAGCTATGGTATTGAATGGGCAGTGTAAGTAAAACATTTTGTGACCATGTTATCTTCCATCAGGTCCAACTAATTATGGGGTATTTGATAGTAATCCTTTTCATGTCTTATTTTTAATTTAATATAATCCTGATTGCTCTTGTGCAGATATATAATAACTACTGGAGCCTGTACTGCTCTTTGCTCTACACTGTTGGGTTCCCTCTTACCTCAGGTAAATCAATTGAAATTGAACCAATTACCAATTTAAGTTTATTTTTGTTTTGATAAATAGGCGATTTATTAAGAAGCGCCAAAGGGGTACCATGCATAGTACAAAAATGTATGGTAAATATGGTAGCAGAAATACAAAAAATCTAATATGAATCTGAGCCTATCCAATATCCATCCAGTCCAATAAATCAATAAAAGAAAGGACTGAAAGAGGCTAACACTTCCCCAAGTGGATAACAGGGCCATTTTGGATCTAACCGGATGACCACTTGCAATTGGATTGGACCCTTCCCTGAAATGAAAGCTTTGGATGCCACCAATACCATGGTCGAGGTCACTCAACCGGGTTGTAATACACATGGGCCTAGCCATACTAAAAGATTGAATCCAATCAATTAGATAGTCTAACCTATGGCCTTATAAACTCATATGTTTCTCTCTTATTTTTCAATGTGTCTTTAACAGGACACATGGAGCAACACTTAGTTAATGATGCTTCTCTTTCTTAAGTCATTTCCAGTTAGAATAGCTTCCATAGCCACCTTCCCCAGTAAAAATAAAATCTCAGGGGACAGCCTGGGAGACATCTGTTTCCAAGAGATGTCACTTGGATCAGCAATAGTCAGAGTGTTATAGAAAGATTTGACTGGGAAAATCTTTGTTCACTCTAGTCCAAATCTGCCCATTTTCAGCCACTATGGTAATACTAGTGGAATGCACAGTTAATATGAAGGTAAGAAAACTGTCCAATTCCCCACCCTGGAGGTTTTTATGAAATTTGAAATTTCAAAATTACCCTCCATTAGAGTCAAACTAAGGAGGCCACTTTTTTCAAGTTGATCTTGAGAGCTACAAAACAGATTAGCAAAGGAGTTCTTCAAGTTGATCCTAAGTCTCAACATCCTTCCCATTTTTCTTAAAGCCATTTCCCACTTCAAAATGGATGGAATTGTCAAAATATGTTTTAACTTTTTATATGGGCCTTTGAACATATTAGAAAGCCGTCCACTACAAGGAGTAAAATGTGCATTAACTGAATGGAATGGAATTCAAGTATATGAATTGAAGCATGTGCTCCATCTCAACTAAAAGCTTAAGCTGATAGTTGGATACACATTAACGGATATATGCTCACACGCCCCCTCATGTGTACGGTGGATTCCAACCAACACGTGGACCGGTAAACCGTAGTCGCTTACGAGTGGCGTTGAGATTCGAACCCATGACCTTTGGTCTGGCTCTGATACCAAATTGAAGCATGTGCTCCATCTCAACTAAAAGCTTAAGCTGATAGTTGGATACACATTAACGGATATATGCTCACATATCAAACTTAAAGCCACCTTGAAGTTTACATGACATGAAGGTCAATTTTATTTTCAGAGGGTGATTTTTAATTTTATGTTACCTGAAATTATAAATATACTCGTGATTAAAAATGCAATTAACAATTTGTACCGCAAACCTGACTCAAAATTATTGAAAAATATAAACTTAGAACCCTGAAATTAATTTTTTTTTTTTTTAACATCTAAAACTTGAATTTCATTTTTTAAGTTCTATAGCGACTTTTAAGCAATAATCTCTATCAATATTTGAAATTCTAAATATAACTTGAATATCATTCACTACAAAATCCAAATGGTATTTCACTTTGATTTTTAGTTTACTTTTTATATCACTTAAAACTTTTTGATATTTGAAATAATTTTGGGTCAGGTCTAATCAGACTCAATGTCATGCCCAACACCATTTTCTTCTACCACTCACTTTAAACATTTTAATTTGAAGATGTTGAAATTGAGGGATTGATAGGTCTGGCGGGTGGAGAATAACCACCACCCGCCAGTTAGGCGGAAGCAAAATATGTGAGAACCAAAGAACAAAAGAATAAAGAGAATATATTATAATGAAAGATTATAATAGATTGTCTCTCTTAATGTATGTTCTATACTTCAATGGACCTCTATATATACTAAACTAGATACTAAATTAGTCTAGGAAACTACTAATAAGAATAGGAAACTAAAACAACTTTCCTAATATTCAACACACCCCCTCAAGCTGGAACATTTGGAAGTTCCAAGCTTGGATTAAAACAAGCACTCTACCTCACTCAAAATTACAAATGAAAATTAAATGCAACTAGAGGATAACAATGCGAGATGGCTTCGGAGGGACAATGCAATACACAACCCTTGGGAATGAAAGCATCAGGGGCAAAGCTTGTCACGAACATCCTTGGGAATGGAGGCACCAAGGGAAAACATGAACACCATCACAGCAACATAAGCACAATAGGATGGATGACTTCAAGAGAGATTGCACTATGTTTGACCCTTCCTTGAGAATGAACACGAAGGCACCAAGAACGGAGCTGAACACAATCCTTGGGAATAAAGACGAAGACACCAAGGACCCTTGGGAATAAAGACACCAAGGACGAAGCTAAACACGATCTTGGGAATGAACACACCGAGGACGGAATTGAACACGAACCTCGGGAATGAAGATGAACACACCAAGGATAGAGTTAAACATGAATAACCTCCCGATAACACAAGAGAACGGTAGAGGCAGAAAGGGAGCAAAGAATAGCAAAGGACGCAGTAGAACCCATAGTAGATAAAATAGCAAATGATAGTAAAGGATAGCAGACAAATTGTAGATAGTCACACTCCCCCTTACTTGAAACGTGGGAAATAATCAAAGGTCTTTATAACAGTGCTGAAACTGAAGGCCCATGGGATAAGGCATACCGGAGATAAGGAAACAAACACGGTTATACCAAAACACAAACACCATGGGGAGAAGTTCAGCAACAAATCCAAAAAAGAACCTTCAAATTTCACCAAAAAGTCCAAAAATGGCAAGAGATTCTGCCTCAAGGGAGGTTTGACTGACGTTGACCATTGACCGGCGAAGTTGACCGGCTTGACTGGCCGTTGACCGCCGTTGACCGGCGACCGATGGAACGGGAAACATAGGTAGATGCGTCTCCTCGAAACGAATCCAATGGTGGCAACGAAGTCTCGAACGGAGATCGGAGCAGAGAGATCTGGCCGGAAAACGATAGCAGATCTCGGCGGCGGTGGTGGCGCGTGGAGGCGCGTGCGACGGCGAATGGCGACCAGATTTCTGCTGCAGGCTTGCGATGACGTTCCGGTGATGCCTGGGGTGTCGGTTGAGAAAAAACTCCAGGAAGACGTCGGAATCTAAGAATCAGTCGCGGCGGCAGTTTTGGCTCCAATGGCGGCAGCAGCTGTGACGGCGGTGGAAAAGAAGAAAAGAATTATTTAGGGTTTAGGCTTTGATACCATGTTGAAATTGAGGGATTGATAGGTCTGGCGGGTGGAGAATAACCACCACCCGCCAGTTAGGCGGAAGCAAAATATGTGAGAACCAAAGAACAAGAGAATAAAGAGAATATATTATAATGAAAGATTACAATAGATTGTCTCTCTTAATGTATGTTCTATACTTCAATGGACCTCTATATATACTAAACTAGATACTAAATTAGTCTAGGAAACTACTAATAAGAATAGGAAACTAAGACAACTTTCCTAATATTCAACAGAAGAAATGGGATTTCAAAGTAACTTCTCAGTTCATAAATTGTGAAACAGTTGAATTTGAATGTGATTTCTAGTTTTCCAACAGAAAACGTAAACTTCAAAAAAAAAAAAAAAAACTGGAAATGGAGAGTAGAAAATGTTTCCTATAGTCAAGTCCAAATTGGATTTCCTAAACTACACCAGCTGGAATTGGTTCTTTTTTAAGTAAACTAATCCTCAGACCTGATATCATCTGGAATAGGAACCAAATAAGATTCAGATGTCAAATATACTCTATTTACAAGATGCTCAAGTTGCTACTAATGTTGAACTTATTGAGTGAGTTTATTCACGGCCCAGATGTTTATGTTACTCCATATAATCTAAATCAGTTTGGAGATCTCTTTAAACAATTTAAACTGAGGCTTTATAATATACTAAAGAAGGTTTCTTTCTGACTTTCTGTTACACTTTTTTCTTTGGGGAAAGAGGGGTGCAAAGGTCTTGACCCTGCATCTCATCAGCATTTGTTGAACTTCATATTACCATAAATTTAGGTGCTTTTCACATTTTAGCTGTTGGTTTTGATGCCTTGTGATACTTGAAAATTGAACTTGATTGTTCCTCATATTACTATGGTTTTACTTTTTGCAGTTTGGCATTGGTTATATCTTTGGATACTTGCAACATAATAGATAACTTTCATCTTCTGTTGTTCTCAGCCACGGATACTTATGGCTATGGCTAGGGATGGGTTGTTGCCATCATTTTTTTCAGATGTTAACAAACATACTCAAGTTCCAGTCAAGAGCACTCTAGTGACTGGTTTACTTTCTGGAGCCTTAGCATTCTTCATGAATGTTGATCAGTTAGCTGGAATGGTATGAACACCTTCTGAGGACAAGATGAACTTCATAGATATCTTGTTCCTTACTTTTAAGCTTTCGATTTGATAGATCCACTATTATGCAGGTTAGTGTCGGTACACTTCTTGCATTCACTGTGGTGGCAATTTCTGTGCTCATACTGCGGTATGTTCCACCAGATGAGGTGCCCCTTCCACCTTCTTTTCAGGAGGCAATAGATGCAGTAACTATCCGCTATAGTGGCAGTGAAGATAATGTAGATATTACCAAAACTGCTACTGTGACCATGGATAGTGACCTTCCATTGTTGGTCAAGGCACCTGTTTGGCATCCTCTTCCAGAGAAAGCAGCAGCTCAGTTCAGCTGTAAGTTCGTAGATTATTACTCCTATAATTTTGAAATTCAGCAGTGTTATTATTTTTGTTGTTGCCATTGTTTGTTATTGTTATTTGTAAATTCTTTTGACCCTCCAACTTCCTGTTTTTATGAGAATGACTTAAATTATGAAATTAGCGAATTTTAGTGTATATTTATGAAATAAATAAATTCTTATTGTTATTGTTATTTGCTTTCCAAGATTCACCCACAATCTAATTTTGACCCACTTTTTAGAAGTATATTTCTTTAAAGTATTGAGTTCTTATCTTTGTAGTTTTTAATATCTAATTTTTACATAAACTTAAGCATAGTAAAACTCTAAGTCAAAGTTTAGTCAAATTTACCAAGAAAAAGTAAGTGAGACAATTGAAGTGGGATGGAGGGAGTGAAATGTGTGTTTGTATATATATATATATATATATATATATATATATAGAGAGAGAGAGAGAGAGAGAGAGTTGTGTTCAAATGAGAACCATGCTTTAACGTGAGACCGTCGTGAGAACTGCGTGAGTGCACACAAGCTACTGTATGAATGCACACTAACTACTCCAAGGGTCTCCATAGTCATCCAGGCATGCTTGGGAGTAGTTATTGTGCATTCATGTAATAGAATGTGTGCAGTTGTGCACTCGTGCAGTTGTTTGCATAATTGCATGGTCTCACATTAAGCAGGTTCTCACCTGAACTCAAGCATATATATATATGTGTGTGTGTGTGTGTGTTCTTCAAATTCCATATTTCTGTGTCCATATGGATGAAACATAGCAAAAGAGAGAAGAAAGGAAGCACAACAAAAAACAAAAAGGAAGGAATAAAAGGAAGGTGTGGGAATGGAAAGAACTGATGAAGGCAAAGGGGGTGGTGCGGCTACATGTAATGTTTCTGATAATGAATGTAAAACATTTTTAATAAAGTGTATAAGGTTCATTGTTCATGATAGCAACCTATGCCAACTAATAGAATAAGAAATATGAGATTTAGCTTGGTACAAATTAAAATGTATAGTTGGCATATCGTTTGCTGCATCTATTGAAGAAATTCTACGTATATACTGTCTCCTTTTAGTTGACCTATTTTCTGTGTCTCAAATTGATCAATCCATTATTATTATCAGTCTGTCTCAAAATATTGAGATATCATAAAGTTTACGATTTTCAAAAATCCAAAAACTACTTTAATGAATATAGTGCGTTTAGTATTTCCCCATTATATAACAACAATGAAATACATATAACAGGTTTAGTAAGTGAAAGGCGGAAAGTTGCTGGATGGGCTATCGTATTTACCTGTATTGGAGTGCTTGTACTTGCTTCTGCTGCTTCGAGTGTTGGCCTGCCAAAGTATGTTTTTACTCTCTAGTCTCTCCCCATTAAACAGCTCCTACCTGCAGCTATAGGTTTTATTTTCCTGTGTATTAATCCTCATATTCTGTGATCTCTTATTGGCCTATGTTTTCTGATAATGAAAATAAAACATTTTAAAGAAATTGTTTATGATGCTCATTGTTCACAAGAAATATGAGATTTAACTTGGTATATCTTCTGCCACATCTGTTGCAAAAGTTTATTGATTTTCTTTTTTTTAAACAAATGGTTTATAGTTGTTAAATGTACAACACACTAAATTTATAACAAGTTTATTTATAACCAGTTCTCCGAGGTTCATACTTTGTGGACTTGGTGGATTCCTTGTGCTATCTGGTTTATTGGTGCTGACTTCCATACACCAAGATGATGCAAGGCACAACTTTGGACATTCAGGAGGTATATTATGTTTTAAACGATTATTATTTGTATATAGGTTGTAAATAATGAATAATGCGTGCAGGCTTTGTTTGCCCATTTGTTCCCGTCTTGCCAATCGCCTGCATTCTCATCAATGTCTACCTGTTAATAAATCTTGGGTGAGTCTTTTATTATGTCCTCCCTCCCTCTTGATTTGATGTTTTTGGAAATGGGTTTGAGTGTTTAAATTTTGATGTGCAGTGGTGCAACTTGGGGCCGTGTATCTGTATGGTTGGTAATAGGAATGATTGTTTATATTTTGTACGGACGAAGGCACAGCAAACTGCAAGATGCAGTTTATGTACCTGCAGCACATGTAGATGAAATTTACAGGAATTCTAATCATTTCTCTCTGCCATAGTTCTCTCTCCTGTGCAACTGAAAATCCAAGTTTTCAATTGTACACAGCAACGTAGAAGTAGACGTAGACGCGTTGGTGTTTCAGATCAGTTGATGAAATATATATATAATGCCTCAGCTCAGTTCTCTTGTAATAACTGGTTGGTTGGTTGTATAGCTATAGCATGTGTTCATAGTTTACAGGGAAGAATGAAGATGCCCAGAAAAACAAGGGAATGAGATTTCTATTACCATATTTAAATGCTGCTGTGTAAAACTCTAAGCTTCATGTCAAGGGTTTCATTACTTTGTAATTTATATATATAATATAATAATGTCATCCTTTCCATAATGGTATATATGGTGCACTCTGGTATTTGCTTCCTTGTCTCCAGAAACATGAAACAGTATACTGAGTAATGAATTTGTATTAACAGTGATTAGTTACAGGAGTACAAGATCTAGGTATATATACAAGATGAGACTTAGAGAGACTAAGATTGGGAATCATAAGTAGACTCAAATACATAGATAAAGTCTTAATACTCCTCCTTAAGCACAGGGTATAGATGTGACCTGTAGTTTGTTTCTAAGAGAAGAACTTGGACATGCTAAAGCTTTTTTAAATATGTCAACAAAATGATAGTCAATTTTAACATGTTTAGTGCGAGCATGAAAAATAGGATTAGCACATAGATATGTAGCACCAAGATTATCGCACTACAGCTTTGGAATGGAAATCCTAGTTACACCAATCTCACGTAAGAGGGAGAGAACCTAGATTACCTCAACACAAACAGCAGCTAAACCCTTATGATCCAAGATACAACAGTTCTTTCTAGTTATACCCAAGATACAAGATTTGACCCATGAAAAACAGCATAACCACTGGTTAACTTATGATCCTTAGGGCAACCAGCCCAGTTTGAGTTCGAGAATGCATGTAACTCTCTTGACTCAGATTTTCGAATACGTAAACCATAAGATAGAGTCCCCTTGACATACCTCAACACACGTGATAGTGAGATACTGAAGAGTCTGGTGAAAGTGAAATACTGAAGAGCTCCAGCCAGACTCCGATACTGTGTTGGATCATCATACAAATCTGTAGAGATAACAAGTGATTTCGAAATAGGTATTGGAGTGGAAAGAGGTTTACAATCAGTCATACCAGCACGTTTTAAAATATCAATCATATACCGTTGTTGAGATAAAAGAATTCCATCACCGCATTTAATGGTTTCAATACCAAGAAAGAAACCTGGTTCACCAAGATCACTGATTTTGAAAGCGGTAGATAATTTCGACAATAGATAATTCAAAAGATTTGGATCACTGCCCATCACTAGAATGTCATCAACATAGACAAGAAGATAAACATAATTAGAATTCTTGGAATAATAAAATAGTGACACATCCGTTTTTTATGCCTGAATCATGAAGGTGGTTAAACCAAGCTCTTGGGGCCTGTTCCAACCCATACAAGGATCTCTTCAACAAACAGACATGATCAAAAAATTGAACATTATTATATCTAGGTGGTTGCCGCATGTAAATAGTTTCAGTCAAATTGCCATTCAGAAAAGCATTATGAACATCTAGCTGTCTCACAGTCCAACCAGAAGATATAGTAAGAGAAAGAAGTAACCTGACTGTATAGCTAGATTGAATAGATTTAATCTTATGATTGAAAAGTCTCTCAACAAGGACACGAAACTTTTCAAAAATATCATAGAGACCAGATTTATGTTTCATGGGAAAATACCAAGTACGAGAGAAATCATCGACAAAGAGAACAAAGTATTTATAACCATCAGAGGATAAGAGAGGAGCTGGAACCCAAATATCAGTACAAATTAACTCAAGAATGTTTGAATTAGAAGTGTTAACACGTGACAATGGAAAACGAGCAGATTTACCAATTTGACACGCATTACATAAACTGGAGTTACAACGAATAGCACTGCTAGACCCACTAACCGAACAAAAAGGAAGAACACGACTAAGGACACGATGGTGTGGATAGCCCAAACAATCATGCCAGACAGACGAAGACGCACGAGCTGAAAGAAAAGCGGAAGGGGACAAACTTGGAACTAGTAGTGTGTATAACCCACCAGAACTATTGCCCCAAAGAAGAATCTTCTTGGTATTGATATCCTTCACAACAAAAAAAAGATGCGTGAAACTCAAAGAAGACCTTATTATCATATGCAAATTTTTGAACGGATAATAAAGAGGTAGATGAAGTGGGAACATGAAGAATATTGGATAAATGAAATGACCTAGAAGGGGTATGAAAAGATGCATGACCAGTATGACTAATATGCAAACCTGTACCATCACCGACACGAAGGGTGTCATTACAATTGTACTCTTCCGAGATAGAGAGAACCGCTATATCTGGAGTTGCATGATTTGTTGCACCCGTGTCTGGGAACCAAGTGTGAGAGTCATGTGAGGAATCTGGAGGGGTCCCTAATGAACCATGTTAGCTTGTGGATCTCTTTCATACCGTTTGTAACGCGTATGTGCCGTGTGCCCGAAGTTTCCACAAAGTTGACACTTCGGTTGGTGATTGCCGTTCCTACCACCACGACCATGACCACCGTCATTCCCGCAACGGCCGCCACCACCGCCACGAGACTGCTTGGACTACCCGGAGCCACGTCCGCCACTGCGCGAGTGGCCACCTCTTCCGTGCTGCTACTGCCCAATTTTCTGGACGGAAAAGATGAACTCCTCGGCACCGAGGAGGTCCGAGAGTTCATGAATGGTGACCGGTGTTCCTCGGACATTGAGAGAGGATAAAAGACCCTGAAATTCAGGCCACAAACCCCATAATACGTAAAGGTTTTATTCTTCAAGTGGAAGGTACCGGCCGGCGAGAGTTAGATCCTCAATGACAACCTGTGCACGACCAATATAATCAGTAACGGAAGCATCACCTTGTTGTAGCGTTTGAAGTTGCCCGAGAAGGTTCAACGAGCGAGACCGAGATGAAGAGGCAAATGTGGAAGTAACGGCAGTCCACACTGCACGACTGGTGTGATGTCCGATAGCTAAGGACATAACTTCATCAGACAACAAGGACATGAGCTTAGAGAGAAGCGCCTAATCTTGACGAACCCATGGATGATAGGCAGGATTCGGCAGAGGTGGCGCTCCTTCATTGCCAGACAAGATCGTGGGCGGCGGGCAGGGATTGGTTCCGTCGATGAAACCCATTAGGTCATGTCCGTTGAGAAAAGGAACAACTTGAGCCTTCCAAAATAAGAAGTTTCGATGAGTCAATTTGACACTGATGAAGTGATGAGTCGTGGAGAGGGTGGTTACGGTTGAAGTAACCCACGAGAAAAGGGCATCAGAAACGGTCCGTTCAGAGGAATTGACATATCCGTCGCCCATTGGATAGAAACCCTAGCTAGCTTATACCAGATGAGAACTGTAATGAATTGTATTAACAGTGATGAATTTCAAGAGTACAAGACCTAGGTACATATACAAGAGGAGACTTAAGGAGACTAGGATTGGGAATCATAAGTAGATTAAAATACTTAGATAGAGTCCTAATACTGAGTACACTGTGATCATGTCCAGAATGAGGATTACAAGAAGCATTTGTTCACATCTTTTTCACTTCAACAATCATTGTTCATCATAAGAAATGGGGCATTTATTTTACCTCTTATTCACCTAACATGTTTTGATTGATCCAAAATATAAAAAAGTCGATTATAGTTTTTTTTTTTTTTGAAAGAAAAAGCTTAATGCATTAAATCTCGAATAAGGCAGTTCACAAGAAGAGCAGGAGGTGTGTCAAACCACTCTCCACAACCTGATTCAGAACAGGCCTCCCTGGCAAGAGTGTGGACAGCATAGTTCGCAGATCGTTTTACAAAAAGGAATTGCACGTCGTCAATCAATGACACCAATTCTTTACCATCATCTATCAAAAGTACGAAAGCAGAATAAAAAGAAGGATGAGAGATAGCATGAAAAATAGATTGTGAATCCATCTCCACATCAACCGCACCCATCCCTGTGTCCTTCAACCAGCTTAGTGCCTCTCTCAGGCCGATTGCCTCTGCTTCATTTATTGTATAAACACCATCCAAATGCAGGTTTTTTGCTGCCAAGAATGATCCAACATGATCACGCAGCACCCATCCTAATCCCATAACATTATTCGTAATGTCGACCGAAGAATCCACATTCAACTTTATATGCCCATTTGCCTGCCGAACCCAATGTTCCTCCCTTGTCGCAACATGACCTGCATGCTCAGCATCATTAGCGTGACACCAATTCTGCCAAAAGCCTACTGCTCGGCGCAACATTACATGAAAATCAAACTGCACCCTTTGCCACACATTTTCATTTCGACTTTGCCAGATATCCCAGCAGGCCATAACATATTTCGCCAAACTTTCACCATTTAGGAGTATAAAAATCCCGAAAAAAACCAGTCTACTACATTACCATAATTTGCAGTAGTGGCAGGTAAGCCCAACGGACTCCACACTCTCACTACTTTCGTGCATTGAGCGAAAATATGAAATGCACTCTCCTGCTCGTTCCTGCACATATGACAAGTTTGAGTACAGTGAATATTTTTAGCTTGTAGGGCATCCCTGGTTGGCAAAAAAGATGATGCTAGCTGTCAGGAAAATAGCTTGACTTTTGGTGGCACAACCAAATTCCACAATCGGGACCATGGCCAGCTGTCCTGCAACTCACCCTTCATATGGTTATAACATGACTTGACGGTGTAATTGCCTTTTTTATCCCAAAACCAGTACCACGCATCTCGTGGCCTTCTATTGGAGACCGGGATGTTCAAAATCAGATCGGCATCACAGGTATTAAAAATACTCCTAACTTGGGTTACATCCCATCCAGTACCTTGTTGATTGAAAAGATAGGCCATCGGGGCTTCGAAAACAGCTTCAGCTACCGGAGTCGTAATGAAAGGCTCATCTTACACCGGTAGCCATGCATGCTTCCCTATTATAGTATCAACACCACTTCCTATACTGCGCCTATAGTCGTCCCGCATCACTTGCTGGACCCCTATCATTCCCCGCCAAATGAAGGAAGGGTTACTGCCAGCTACTGCATCAAAGAATGCACAGTTAGGATAATACCGTGCCTTGTATATCCTCGCCACCAGTGAGGTAGGCTTGGTAATCAACCTCCACGCTTGTTTACCCAGCAATTCCATATTCATCTCATGCAGAGTCCGGAATCCCATCCCCCC